TATGTATGTATGTATATATATATATATATATATATACTTGTAGTCTACATGTGATGTCTACATGATAATTTTTGTGCATGAGATGGCTACTAAATGAATATGTGAATAATGCAATAACTTGAAATGTTCTTTAGGCATCATCATAATGGAAGATGGGAAGCTCGGATTGGTCGCGTATTTGGCAATAAATACTTGTATTTGGGAACCTACGGTATGTATGCCATTTTTGCGAGTTTAAATTTATATTTTTGCAACTTATATAGACTTATTTTCTCATAACTTTTTATTTATTATACTTAAGGTTGACATGATAGTCTATATATTTAAAAAAAAAGATGAATACTAGCTAGCTATTTCAATATATTTCATATTCGAAATTCAAATATCTTAATTAGAAACATTAATTTCTACTTTAACTCCCCTCCCACTATCCTAAATAATTATGTGGGAAAGCTACCAATTGATAGATTTTGGACCAACACCTCCCTCTATTCAAAGTTTAATTTTGTAGTATGTATGAATAACTAAATATAAGTATTTTTGGAATTGTTTAAAGATAAATATTATTGATTATTTATGTATTATATTTATCTCATATTAAATTCTATAATTTTAGAATCTATCCCAATCAATTTTGAGCTGAACTTTTACTTAGAATGTTATGTTTATCATGCCTCTAGTGAGCTTCATGCAATAAAAAGATATATATATGAAAAATAAAATCAAAATCAAAGGATAGGTATTATTATTACAATTTAATTAAAATATACATAGCAATATTTGAAATATGCACGTGATCAATCACTTATATAAACCAACCTTTGTTATGAATAAAGTTTGGCCGGTTAGCCTTACTATCATATTACTAGGGGTGTAAACGAGCCAAAAACGAGCGAGCCCAGGCTCAGCTCGTTTATATTTTGAGCTCAGAAAGTGTGTTCGTGTTCGGCTCGTTTGCTTAGCGAGGCAAACACGAGCCGTTCACGAAGTCATAAGAAGCTAAGGATTGGGGCAAGATTTAAAACTTCATTTTAATCTAATTTAATGTTTTTTATTATATTTTCTTCATTAATACTTTTAATTGATTATAAATCTTTGTAGCCTTGTAGTCAATTAAAATTTTTAAATATACTACTCATCAAATATATATATATATATATATAATTGATTAGTAGTACTTCAAGCCAAAATGAGCCGAACACAAACAAACAAATATTTGTTCGTGTTGTTCGTATTCGACTCGTTAATTTAGCGAACGACCCGAACACGAGCTGTTCGCGAACAGCGGGCCGTTTTAACAGCCCTACATATTACTGCGTATTTATACAACAACCATTTAAGAAAATAATTGCAAATAATTAAATAAATTGTTTGACTACCTAAGTTCCGTCCAACATAGTATCAAAATGCAAACAATTGTTACAATAAGCCCACAAAAGTTGTTGCATTATAGTACAAACATTTTACCAAATTCCCCTGCTTTCAACACAAATGCCTCTCATTCCGTTTTTATTATTATTTTTTTTTTCATTTTTTAATTGATTAAGTAATATTTTCACTATCAATCATTTCGAAATTATTAGAAAAGACGGCATTCCAAGAGGCTTTAATTTGTGGTGATTATATTAATGCTGATTGAGTGATTTCAAATTACTTAGCTGAATGATAAAGCTAGCTACTAATTAATTTATTTCAGGGGCATTTACATATATACCACACAATTATTATTTATTTACATATCTGCCGCTTAAAAATTCATATTTACATGTGTGCCACTCAAATCCTTAAAATCACATAAAAGATAATAGCCATCATTATCTTCTTAAAATTGAAATACATATTTATGATACTAAAATATTATGTGAAAATATAGAAGAATTGTGATATATATATATATATATATATATATATAAAGAAAGGGGCGAGAGATATTTGTGATGTAATGAAAATTTACTTTAAAATGCATTTTTAATTGATATGTCCATTCTAAGCTTAAGCTCCTACCTAAAAGTACCCTCATTTTTTAGAGAAATTATTACAAGTGGAGACCACACTTCTGAATGACATGGTTTGAATAGGCGTTGTGTGGTACACGGTTGCGTGACCGCATCTGTCGTCCGGACATGCGACCTTATGCACATATGACCATATGCACGAAATAATTTTTGCATGGTTTGCTATTTATAACCATCAACCTTCATGTGACTCGGTCTCAAAGCAATAAATTTCAACCCAATAGGAGAGCATATTGTCAGTGGAATTGATAGACTCCAATGAATTCGTAATATGCATTTTCATCCATTCAAGTTAATATTCATCACCAACATCATGTTCTCGAAATTGACGGTGTGGGATTATTCAGCACACTTAATTCCCTGGCTTATAAGAATACATTTTAATTCAATTTACTCAAACGAGCCCACAGAAAGCTTGTTTTTACATTCCTACCCATTGAAAAAATTTTACGTACTTAAATCTAATATACAGATATGCTTTGCACAGCAACGCAAGAAGAGGCTGCAATAGCGTACGACATAGCTGCAATTGAATATCGCGGCCTTAATGCAGTCACCAACTTCGATCTCAGCCGTTACATCAAGCCCATTCGTCCGAATCATGAGGACAACAAATCAATCACCACCGCCCATTCCATCAACTCATCACCCACCTCCAACTCCATCCATTTCAATTCTCTTCTTACTTTTCCACAACAGCAACAAAGTCATGAACCAGTAATTACACCTCTATCTCAGACAAAAGGAGCAGCCTCGACGCCATCATCAGCACTCGAATTACTGTTCCGATCATCAAAGTTCAAGGAGATGCTCGAGAACACGTCGTCGGCGGCGACAAACATGGTGCCATTGTTGCGAGAATCCGACGAGAAATCATCGTCGCAATGCAGCTTTCCTGATGACGTTCAGACTTATTTCAAGTGTCATGATAATGAAAGCTTTGTTGTAGAAGGAGCTGATACTATCTTTGGTGAGCTTAATGCCTTTGAAGCTCCCATTTTCCATTGTGAGTTTGATGTTTGAATTTTGATTTTGTTTTGTATTTTGTGTAAGTTGGGTTGAAGTGGGGGGGGAGAGGATGAGATTCTTTCGGAATTTTTAAGCTTTAGTTTGAGATTGTTTGGTTTTTGTACATGATAAACATCATCTTTATATCTATCAAATAATCCAATTGAGTATGGTTTTAATCGTTAAGTGTCGTCATGGAAAGCCTTTTATGAACTTAAATGGGCGATTTTTACTTGTAAGCGATAGAATTTATATATTTATTAAACATTATTTTAAAATATAACAAGTTAATGTATTTGTGAGGAATTTGAGGAATGTGGAAAATAAAATTAAAAAAATTAAGGTTTTGTTGTTCATTTCGACATATCAAAGGCTGAGTTTGACATTTAAATTTTGCAAGGACTCATTTTTTTTCATACATTGTTGCTTAAAGAGCTATTTGATTTTCTTCAAAATGAATGCAGTGTAAAAGGAATGCAATATAGATATAAGTAACATATTGTATTTAGATATTTTAAATGTGCTCGGTTCCATGCAATAGAAATCCATGGCTTCATATTTTTTTATTTGGTTTGAAGAGAAAAGAATTTAATGTAAAATATATGTGTTAATAAGAGCGAGCGGCGATGACAGAGATAACAAGTAGGGCTTGTGACAGTGATTGGGAAGGCTGGCTAGAGGAGTCAACGTACAATTGCCAGTGGCAGCGGCGGAAGTGGTGGCGAGCAACATACATTGACGGTAGGAGTCCGAGATGCCATGGACTAGAGGTGATGTCGGCTGACTAGGGACCGCGACAATGGCCACGAAGGATGCATCGGTGGTCGACAACGATGGGCTAGGCAAGGTGCCATGGACGGCTGCGACAACATGTGATGGCAATGTTGTGGTTAGTCATGGTGGTTGTGCGGGCGTGATGATCGCCACTATTTGTAATACTATTTGTAACCTATTTGGAAATTGCTCAAATTTAAGGAATTTCCCATATGCTCTAAGTCAACTAGGAGCTGCATTATTTGAAGTTGTTGTAATTTTACAACAAATTTTGTGAAAATGAATATGATGATAATGAATATGACGAACATGAATATGATGATTTTGAACAATTTGTGAAAATGAATATGATGATATACTCATTAATATCTTACATTGATTGATTTGAAAAAAAAAAATTTATTTTAAGATGAACATAATATAAGGGTTGATCAATTATTCATATATTGTGCTCATTTAAAAAAAATTAAGAAAATGAATATTAATTCAATTTTAATCAACGCACTGGGCTATGACATAGCCAAAGAATTTCTGGCTCAACATTTAATCGCCAAATTAATTTTGTTTCCCAACGGTCCTCCAGGAAAAAAATGACCCAAAGTTTGATAAATATCATGGGGAAATGTCCAACCGCCAATCATTAAATGAATTGAGATTTTAATTTCAGTTAATTACTATGCATAAGTGTCACCTTCAACTAATTAAGAATCAGCAAAAAAAAAAAAAAAAATTGCATGCATACCAATATTTATTATGAATTTACATGTCCAACATCAAAAGTTAGATATCTACACTTTTCACATCTTCATGTCATAAATGTATACATAAAAATGTGCATTTCACTTTTAAGAGTTAATGGTTGTGATGTCTTTTTAATGTCATGCGATAGATTTTAGTGATATGCATGAATGTTTAGGTGCTAGATATTATTGAATCCTTTTGGGACATGAGATCTCATGTAATTTGTGAACTTATACAATCCTAGAGAGACTTTGTGAAAGAAGGGGGAAGCGTTGAAGGATTCTCATAAAAAGATAGTCTTGGAGTTTTTGAAAGGCCCATGATCGGGGGTCTTACCTATTTCCTGTTTTTCTTATTTATATGTTATGCAGCATATGTACTCACACAGGAAGTTGTCGACAAGTTTGGCGGAAATGTTCAACCAGCCCATGCGAGCTTGAAATAAGAGCTCAAGAAATTTGACCAAGTATGGATGAGCTCACTTGAAGAGTTAAGATTAGTGAGCCCGTTCGGAGGAACTCACAGAAATATTGCATACTTTAGAGGTACTCTTTAGGTTCTTCTGGGCGTCAAGAAGCTCTGTAGTTTTCTTGCTGCTTAATTAAATTTATTTTTAAATATAAATTTAGTTCTCTGATTCTCTTAGCTCTTCGACAATATATTGTGAAAAAAATGAACAAAAAATAAAATAATAGAATAACCAACAACTATTCACTAAAAACATAGATGAGATGATCACAACAATCATTCTATCCTATAGAGTTAATTTGTTGGGAGACATGTTTACTCATATTCAATTGAAATTTATTTGCTATGCCTTGAAAAGTAGTACCATGTGTTTACCATTGAGTTTATACTTTCCTTATTCAGGAGGCTCGGAAGCTATGCCTACAGGGAGTAGTCACTAGTACTCTCTTGTAACTATGACCTGTTTCTCATTCATATGTCTTTGCATTCTAGGCGGTGGAATCAACTCATTCTATCGTCGTGATCATCAGTGGATTCAAGAGATTTTTTTACTGTTGAGGTACCGATAGCAAAAACACAAAATGTTACAAAAAATATGACTTATTTCAGTCACTAGACTGTAATAATCATAAGAAATGGTAGAATATAATGTGAAAAGTTTGAGGCTTCCCAATTATGGAGTTATGGAGAGTGTTCTTCGGGATTGTTAGAGAATATGAACAAGTACCACGAGAACACTTATAACGTCTATCAATGAACCATCACTTTGTCATGAGAAAAAGAATATGTTAGTAATGACAAAATGAATTTTGATATTAAAGATTTGAGTGACAAACATACATTTATATGAATGTTTTGGTAATAGATATATAATACAGAAGAATTGTGGGCATGCATGTAAATGCAGCAGGTCCATGCAAGTCTATACTCCCACCGACCAATCAAAATCTTATCCTGGAGAAAATGGTGAGTTTGTCTGGCAATTGAAAAAGGAGAAAGTTGACTGGAGAAGCACACAAATCGCCGACGATGGCCTCCGCCGCCTGTGCTGTCTATCTATCGCACCGGCCCTTCTACTCACAAACGGTTAGACGCTTTCATGCCATTCACATCTCCCCATCTCCAACATCATTCACCATGAAGACCACTCTCAGTTCCTCCAAAACCCTATCCACTTCCCTTCTATTTCATTCCCATTCCATAATTCCTTCTCCGAAGCATTCCACCTTCACAGTCTTCGCGGCTAAGGGATACAAGATGAAGACCCACAAGGTACCGCTTTTATACATCTTTTCTTTGCTATCGGTGCGATTCTGAGAAGAACCTGCTTGTTCTGTGCGAGTGATGAAATCTGAAGGCCTCGGCGAAGCGGTTTAGGGTTACGGGTAGGGGAAAGATTGTCCGTAGGCGAGCGGGGAAGCAACATCTTCTTGTGAAGAAGAATAAAAAGAGGAAGCTGAGGCTATCCAAAATGGTATGTGTATTTTTCTTGAATCCTTAATTGAATTATCTCTTCCTGCGGCTGTTCTCCATAGCTTTATTCCGAGTCGTAGCTTTTGTTCTGTTTTAATGTTCTATTTCTTGGCATTGCCTTTTTAATTATGCAAGTACTGATTTTGTTGAACCCAACTAAACTTTATTTAGTTTTTGTTTCAACTTTACCTGCTACTTCAAGCCATGCATTTATAAAACTGGGCTTTCTCAATGTTTTCATGAACAGTTTTACAAGAAAATAGAAAGATGAAATGCGCAGTGTCTGTCCTTTTATATGACTAGCTGATGATATGTTCTCTCTTATATGTTTTTGGTCATCTCCGGTGAGCTGGCATTCCCATTACACCCATTGGTGAGGGAGAAGTTGAACTGATTGGAGGAATTAGGTGAGTTTGCCTCTGGTGGAACAGTAATGAGATTTTAAATGGTAGAATAAATTAGAAGGGTGTTGGAAGGTGAGGGGGAGTAAATGAGTGGTGGATGTAGATAACTGGTGGTTGTAGGAAGGGGAGGGGTGATGAAGATCAGGCAGATGCTGTGCTTGTTCGTATGAGAGGATGTGTCCATCAGCAATCACTAAAGTTCTATTTAAATAGGAAAATACCCTTGCATTATTTTGATGGAGCCCATTATTGACATGGTTGGAATGGGGATATTTTGTTATTATTATATTTTTCTCTTTTGGTTCTCATGAAGCATTATTTCATATCAGGGGAAATATTGTAATTATGGCTCCTAGATGGTGTTAGAAATGGCTATCTATGAATACCAGCCCTTGTGTTATGAGAAATCCAGAGATTCATAATCAACATGAAACTTGCCTTGAGCCCCAAAGAAAAGTGGCTAAACCATATCCAGGCTGAAAACTGTCTACTAAATTTAAAATAAATCCTTTGGTGTTGGGCTGAGAACCATTTCGAAGCAAAGAAATCGACAACATCCATTTCTAGTCATAGAAGGCGAAGGCCTCATAGATCGAGAATTGGTATTTGGCTTTTTTTTGCCTATGTTTGAAGCTGTGTATGGGAACATAATATAGGATAATTAGGAATATTGGAGCCTGTTGTATTATCTGCTGGGTAGAATCAGAGTTAGCTCTATAACACAAGGATCTATTATCAAATAGAAATTTGAAATAACCAAGGATCGCAAATATATGCATAGAAGATTCATTTGGAATTGTTTGCTGTTTAGTTTGTATGTTTACTTGTAGGTTTAGTGCCATGTAAAGTTTCTAATAGTAAACTATTACTCCATTTTAGTTCCCACCTTGTCCCGCCATTGGTTTCAATAATGTTTTAATTTTTTGAAATTCAACAACATCAAGATGAAAAGTGTTATTCAATTAGAAGGGCAAGAAAATCATCTTCATTTTCTTTATAAATTGTATTAGTAAGAATTGAATACTACATAATTAATATGAGAATGTTAGAATTTTATTTAGTAATATATTTTCTTATATGAAACTATTTGGGGAATTGATAAAAATGAACTTCATAATACTACATAATTAATATGAGACTGTTAGAATTTTATTTAGTTATATATTTACTTTATATGAAACTATTTGGGGAATTGATAAAAATAAACTTCATTTCAGTTCAAACAAATTGATAAATTGATTACCCATTTTGCAACCTCATGTGAAAGAAAAATCATCATGGAAACTCGCTCAAATTAAACACACTTTCCAAACTTATAAGTTCTAAACACTTACCTTGAGATATATTGACCCTTAGTGACGTAGTCATAAATGAGCTACATTTCATGCTACAAATAAGAGTGATCATGAGCCTAATAGATCATGTCATTTTTAACTTAAGTGAACCTTCTTTATGATTAAACTTATATAAATAATCTCTGACTCTTTGCTATGTCTCTTCATTTTTTATTGCTAATTGCACACTACTCCGCCCGCTTACACCAAACCACCCATTTCCAAGTGCATTTCTTTTCGTTTTGGTCTTCCCCCATAGTTCTCTTTTATATTTCTCCTTGCCTACAAGGATCATGCTATGTCCTTTAGTTTAGGATCTTGTTAGTCTAAAGGGTGAAATACTTAGATCTTTGTTTTTCAAATTTTGAGACTACAAAATAGTTTCTACTTATTTGATTTTAACTGCTATTGATTGCAAAAGAGTCTGTAAAGCTAGAATCTACTTCATTGGTGGAGCCCTCTTGGCACTTAAAAAAGCGGTCTACAGAGCTAGTGTTGCCAAAAAAAGATTTTATCCATTCCCATTTGGATCAGACTACGGGAACTCCTCCTTCAGGTCTAGACCCTCATGATTGCTAGCAAAATTGTTTCTATGGTAAAAAAAAAACCCCATTGAAAATTCATTCACTGGTTTACCTTTAGGTTGTGAGAGTGTGTGGGGGTCTCTCTTTCATTATTATTCCCTAATAGCGACCCTACATGCATAAATACTAATTTCAGTCGTGATAAAACTTTCTTTGAAAGGAATCCAACTTAATGCTATACATGTAATTTTTCTTTCACAACCTAGAGTTAGTTCAACTAAACTTATGGAAGTAAATATTGAGAAGCTCGAAATCAGGAAGTGCAAATATGGATGTCAAAACAGAGCAATGTCAGTCCTAACATATTCATCCACTCTTATTGAAGACTTATTATTAAAGAATTTTGATAATCTCGTCGTTGGTACATGCAAGCACCTTTGATGCAACATGATGATATGAGATGATATATGATTAAAAGAAGAATGGGGTAAGTAATGAAGATGGTAGTAAAGGAAGGATGCTCCATGTGCTATCAGCACACCTAAAAAGCTATTTGTCTGCTCTAATATGAATTATTTAGGGTGTGGGATTTTTTTATTAAGGGAGAAACTAATGGATCGTGATGGGAAATTGCAATAGTTAATAAGGATGGAGTCTTAAATCATTGTAAATGTAAAGGGTTAGGGGACTTGCCACTTTATTAAATGATAATTTTCTTTCTTTCTTGGAATTTTAGAGGCTTACATGTTGCCATAAAAATAAGTTTTAGAGACTATGCTGCATTGCTGAGCTCAAAATTGAACATTGCTTAAGATCTTTGATTATAAATACAAGCACTTTGGAGACAAGAATTATTCTTAAGACTAACTTGTTCTCATGTCAAATCATTTTCTCTTTACATGATTGAGGCGATTACCTACATAGCACCCGAAACATTGCTATTTACAAATCAAGCACCCTGGTGATTTTTTGAACTGCCGAAGCGATGCATTTACATATACCACGATCACCACTAAGAATTTGATAAAAATGAAAAACATGAGTTGTGGTTTTATCATGAATTTTGGTATTTGTGTGAGGAGTTGAAAAATGGGTGAAAGAGGGTGCTTGATTTGTAAATATTGATGTTTGCTTTGTATGTAATTATCCCTACATGATTCTATGTGGCCATCTATGTTATTGAGAGACAGAGCTTGTGACAATCCATTGAAAGCGTGGGCGATGGTTTGAATGTGCTTTGAACCAAGGTATGCAATTTCGTCTAATGTAGAAACCACTAGAACATGGTTAGAAACAATCTGGTTTGCCAAAATAATTTTCATTAGTATAACTCGGTGTTAATAGTTGATAAGATTAATCAAAGGTTTGCAAGTAGTTTCTTTCTGAAGTCATGAGGCTTTAGCTTGTGAGATTGACCTTTCCGTATGAGTTCCCATTGGTTTTATTTTGTCCATTTTCTAACTTTGGCTATGAATGCACTTGAAACATGTACTTTTGAGAATGAATAGAGAAGGTATTTATGTGCTAAGCTTTGGAAAAAGAGAAAAAAAACCCTTAGTAGTTAGTGTCAAAGTCTTGAGAAAAATAGGTTGAATGCTGAATAGACTCGATTGCCTTTTCCCTTTACTTTCATTCCATTAAATAACAATCTTACAATCTATTTTAGGTACAAAATAAAGTGCATAATCTATGTTAGGTGACTTAATAATACATATTACTAATCTAAATATTGAGCTAAAAGGGAAATAAATCAGAAAAAAAGATATTGAAAATAAAGAAGCTCCTAATTATAGAGAACTCCAAATATAGTTGTCTAATTTTCGTCCTTCCTGATTGACAGTTAGGAGCTATTAGGATCCTTTCTATTTTTTCATTTTTTATTTTTATTTGATTTTATTTTGTTTAGATTTCGATTTAGAATAAAACATGTTTGACATGCTAAAAATATGTTTAGTTATTTTTAAAAATACTCTAATCATTTAAAAGTTATTTTGAGTAATCAAACATATTTAACACACAATTGTTTCATCCTTGGTCTTTGATGTTTTCATTGCTCATGAAAGTTCAGGATCACATAATCAATTTTTTTTTTAATGCCCAGCATGGAAATGACAGGAACCATGTAAAATTTGAGATTAAGATTGGATTACAATCCTTGGGTGAATATGATGATCTAAACATGTTTTAGAATGAATGTGTTGAATTGCACACACACTTCTAGATAATCTATTGCTTCCGCACCGCTCCTATATGATAATATGTTCATTTACTCATTTACCATCAACTATCTTTACTTCATTAGTTTATCAACAACAACAACAAGGAGAAGCCTTGATCCTGCTAAGGGGTCTACATGAATCCTTTTTCTCCATTATGTCCTATTGAGTATCATATTTTCATTTAATTCTAATAAATTAAGATCATTTTTTATACAATATGCCCAAGTTTTTTTAGGTCTGGTCTGCCATTGCCTTTCTTAATATAAGTCGAATCTAAAAGATCCACTCTCCTAATCAAATCATCATATGGTCGACGTTTAACCTGACCAAACCATGCAAGACGACTCTCTTTAGTATTGCCCGTCACTGGAGCTACGCCAACCCTTTCAGGTATCGTTATTAGTTTATCAATGGGAATACAATCAAGATATTTAGTTTCCTAGAAATGATTGAATTGTTGACCTGATACTTAAATCTTGATTTACTTCATGTAGTTGTCTCATTTCAATATTTACTGTATTGAGAATGCGTGTCTGACTTCATCCTGCCTAGAAATCAGAATTAATTTGATTTCTAATGCAAATATTTCATTCAACAGAAGAAAATTTGGGATTTTTTGTATGTTTGAACATGAAATTCAGAGGTGCATTTTGACCGCATTTTGTGAAGGAAAAAAAAAGCATACATCCTATTTATCATAGCAACTTTTAAGGGAGAATCTCTATTGTATATCCTGTTTTTGGATATATTACAAGCTACTATTTCTAGACTACGGATTGTGCAAATGCCTTCTGGTTCTTCTCTCTCTCTCTCTATCTCTCTCTCTCTCTTGTTTTGTTTACAGCATGCAGTGGACAGGAGTGATTATGATAATGTAATTGGTGCGCTCCCATACCTTAAAGTGAATCGTCAAGAAACCTGAAGCCTTACCCACCTGACAAAGAATCAACTCAAAAGATCGGTTTTGTAATATTTTATCCAAGTAATTTATTTTCAATTTGGATGCTAGTAATTGTTCTACATGTAATTGCTGTATCTTTATATGTTAAAAGATTTATTTTCATTCAGCAATTTTTCTTTTAACATGTGATCCATTTTAGTAGATCCATTGCAGCTTTATAGCTCAAAACAAATGTGTGTGGATAAACAAAAACAAATAAGCTGGGAGATTAATGTATTTATTTATGCATTGCTCTTTATAATTTTCCTTCAAATTAAGTTGCCTCAGCTTGTGTTTTCCCCTAGTTTTGCATTTATTATTTGAGCTGTAATTTTCTTTCTTTATACATTAACAAGTTGATCTTTTGAGGTTAGTGACCTGTACTCATTTGATTGTTTGAGGATGGAAAATCTGTTTCAAAAAGTTATGAATCTGTTAGAGATTTTTTTTTCTTTTTTTTTTTTTGAAATTTTGAAAGACTTAATAGTTTGTAAAATCTTGATTTCATTCTAATGAAGTTCAACCAAGTAATTGAACATGATAGACTTTTTTTTTTCTTCTTAAAACATGTTTTCTGACGCTCTTATAAGTTGTGAAGCCAAATAATTGAACATAGTTTTTGACCATTTTTATTAAGAGTGTTATGGAAGTTTTATTATATTTTGGATTCCCTACTTTTTAATTTTTTCTTTTTACGAGAAGAGTGTTGTTTTATGTTTTTATCTACAAATTAGAGTTATATTTCTTCAAATCAGTGCTGAAATCTATCTTAGCTATCAATTGATAAATCTGGCAAAAATTTTCTTTTTGTGTGCTAATTTTCCTTTTTTATTTTTATTTTTATTTTCTATGTGTGAGTTTTGTAAGTTTTGCCTATCTCTTAACACATTGCTTATAGGTTTGTTTATGGGATATGTTGATCAAGGTTTGCATCGTGTCTCCTAAACATGAATTTATAATTTTAATATATTTATTTTATTTGTTAGATTGAAATCAATATTTTTTTGGATGTTTTAATAGAATTTGTGGAGTTTAAAGATGGAACCCTTTTTTTCCTTAACTTTATTCAATGAATTGATTGAACTAAAACATCTTCCTCATTTTTTTTCTAAAACATATACTCCTTGGCTTATTATGCACCTTTTGTGGATTTAATCTGGAATCAACTAAGTAGCAGAGTTTACTTTTGATTTATTTAAATCTTGTATTTGCTTCTCACTCTCACTCTTCTTTAATTCCTTGATTTAGAGATTTACATACATAAAATTTAATTCTTATGTCTTTACATATCTAACACCTAAACTTCAATTTTTTACATTACATTGTTGACCTCATTTTTGAGGTCTACCTTTTCCTCTCCTTAGAACTTAAGATCTAGCCTTAGGTTCCTGTTGACTATCTTGGAAGACTAGTGATGGAGCCCACTCTATTTAGAAGTTCAAATCACCTATTAGCTCTTTTGGGAGGCCTCACATGGGTGGTCTCAAGCCATCCCATTTGATCGAGTGGCTATGGCTATAAGCCATCACCATTTGGTTGAGTGGCTAGGAGCACAAGCCATTGGGTTGAGTGGTTGGGACCAACATGTGGAGGCCCAAAGAGAGTTCCATAGGATCTCAAGGCTCTAGGAGGTCCCTGATGACTTGTATACTCACTCCATTTTGCATACACATATATTACATTACATTGCAATTCACCTACACCACACCACAATATACTTGCATTCATTTTACAATTTATCAAAATCCAAAATTACCAAATTGACACAAAATTGGCCCAATTGCTCCAAGCCACCTATTTTTCCACCTTAATTTCTCAAAACTACCTAAACCCACCAATTTTCACCAAAACTTCTCAAAACTAAAAAGTTGGCTCACCTCTCATCAAAAAAAATTGTCAAATTCACTTCAAATTTATCAAAAGTCCAAGGTCAAACCCGAGCCCATGCAAATTCAAGCCCAAACCCAAAATTGCCCAAGTTCAAACTCAAAATTTACCTCAAACTCTTTAAATTTGAACCCCACATGCCAAATTCAGTCTTACTAAGCTCACGGCCCAAATTTTATAATAATAATAAAAAAAATCCATCATTGCGTTGATTTTAAAATTTCAGGTATTGTTGAGGTTTTATTGAGGTACGGTCAACACCTCAATACAACCATAATAACACCAAAAACTTCCACGTTCCCAATAACACTACCTCCTAATAACACCAACACTCCCCGCGGTTTCCCTCAATAACACCACCAATACTACCAAGTACTCCTGTCGTTTCTTCAATAACACCACTAATAACATCGGGATACACCGTCACCGCAGTCGAAATAACACCGCCGAAATAACACCGCAATCCCTCCAATAACACTGTCACAAACTTGTAATAACACTTTAATACAACTGTCATACTGTCAAAATAACACCACCGCTGCATAACCCCGCGATATCGCGTCGCAACCTCCAAATAACACCGCAATAATATCACGCTATTACTGTAATAACACCACCGCCACATAACCCCGCGGTACCACACCGCAAAACTTCAGTAACACCGCCATAATATCACGATAACACCCGCCTTTCAATTCCTTGCCAATAACACCTCGACGCCACACAAAACTCCGCAATAATACCGCGTTCCGTCAATAACACAACGAAAATCCCGATTGTTTGCCAATAACACCCTCAACAATAACACAATCACGATTCTGAGCCAATAATACCATGATCCAACCCGAATAACACCGTGAATAATATTGATGCCCGCAGAATCGTGGTAACACTGCAATACTACCGCAAATAACACCAACTTTCGCAGAACTGCAGTAACACCTAAATACAACACAAATAACACTGAAATAACTTGAATTATCCGAGATTCTGAAAGCTCTTTCCTCTGCTCGAGGCTTTTCTTCCCGAAGCCTGCCCTTGCTTCGTCTCTCGGGACGACAGGCTTTCGTGTACCTTCATTTCCCTTTTAGGTAAGTTGACCTGCCTCTCCCCAAAACATGAGTTTGGTAGAGCCTTCTCCTTCACGATGCCTTCAGCCCCTGATGCTTCTCAACTCGAAGCATTTTGCTCAGCGGGAACCCCTCTTCTTCCTTCTGAATTCCCACCTCCTTTCCTCTAGTTTTTTTTTCTTCTCCCTTCTGTGGCTATAAAATCCCCTTTGGGGGAAGAATTTAGGGTTGAAATTTTTGTGGTTGTTGATATTTTGTTGAGTCCCTACCGCTTGGATTCTATTAGGCTCTGTTGGATTTGGATAAAGCAATAAACAAGGTGATTCATGTCTTTTTCTTTTGTTTCTTTCTTCTCAATTTCACATTTTTTTTAGTGGTATATTGCTTTGAGCTCGATGCTATTCATATGCAAAAATGTTGTTTGTGCAAAAGAGAAATAAGTTTGCTTTACATTTTGGATGTTAGCTCATTTGTTTTGTTCTCTTGGGAAAATCTAAAACTTCTTGGTGTTTCAAAGCGAAAATCTGGAACTTTTTTTTTGTGTTTCAAAGTGGAAAGTCGAAGTTTTCTTTTGTATTCAATATGGAAGAAAATATGAAACTTTTTGGTGTTTCAAAGTGAAAAAATATGAAATTTTTTTTAGTTTTTCAAAAAAGAAAATTTGAGGCTTTCTTTTGTGCTTGATATGGAAAAAAAACTGAAACTTTTTTGTGTTTCAAAGAACAAAATCTGAAGCTTTTTTTCTGTCTAATGTGAAAGAAAAATCTGAAACTTTCTATGTTTCAAAGTGGTCAAAATTTGAAATTTTCGTTTTTGTTTTTGAGGTGGATAAAATCTGAAACTTTTGTGGTTCATTTGTGAAAAAAATCTAGAGCTTGGATAATTTCACTTATAAATAAAATTTGAAGCTTTGACGGCTTCGTTTATGGAAATTTTAAAGCTTTGTTCGGTTCAAATATATTTATATTTGGAAAATTTGAAGTCTTAGTATGTTTGCATACCCGAGACTCAATATTTCTGTGTTATACATGTTAAAAGGGTGAAACTTCTTTACGATATGTTGCTGAAATTTTGTGCTCATATGCTCAAAATTCATTTGATGTCCTTTAGCCTTGGGATATTTACATGCATACTACCTTATTCTCATGTATTTTCATGCTTAACACCTAAGTTTTCTTCTCTACATTTATACCACTTGAATCATGCTATATGGGAACATGCATGTGAAAATTTTGATTAAAGTTGGATTTTTAGACATGTGAATATATAGGAATTGGGTAGTATTTAAGCAACTCCATTAGTCTCTCCATGCCTTTGCTCTCTACTTTTGTTGGTTTGGAGGAAAGTTCAAAAGCTATTTTTGTCCTCTCTGTTTTGTTTTGATTTAAAGAAGGTTTACAAAGCTGCTTTTGTTCTATATTTTGTTGATTTGGGCCGGCTCGTGAAGTTTGGAAGATTGGCATGCATAGCACTCAACACTTGTGTATATTCACATTTTAGCACCTAAAATTTAATTTTTACAAACATGTCACCTTACTCTATGCATAGAATGATACATTTCTTTTTTTTTTCTTGGTGGTATTTCTTTGGCGACATGAAAGATTTTTATGCAAAGTTTCAATGCCTTCGCTTTGGAAATATCTTAAGTTATGTATGTTGGTTTGGGGAGATTTGGAAATGGTTGCAGCTTGTGATTTGGAAGGTTAGAAAGCCTCATTTTAAAAAAAATCTGGAATATTTGTTGTATTGGTTCGTAATATAAATATCGTTGGTAATTTTTGCAACTTGCTGATTTGGAGAAGGCTTTTAAAGCTATTTTTTGGCCATATATGCTTAATGTTTTTTGAGTTGATCACTTATTATTTGGAGGAGGGTTTAATTGCCTTCTTTGGGGTTGATTTGCTAGCTGGTTTTTGAGGGTTTTGTTTGGGGCTGATTTGCTAGCTGATTTTGAGGGCTTCGCTTACTATTTTGAAGCTCATTTTTTAGGGCTTTGCCTACTGTTTTGGGACTGATTTGTTAGCTGACTTTGGAAAGTTTACATGCTATTTTGGGCTGATTAAAAAGTGATTTGGAAATGGGATTTAAACACCTTTTTGAGCTGATCCACTCGTTGTTTTACCCATCTGCTTTGCTGATTTTGGGAGTCAGGTCGACCTCCTATCT